TTTACAAAAATGTTGTACTCTTCATATAAATGATGAATGCTCAAATGTTACTGTCCAGTAAACCCTTGGAATGCCATTTGTTTTGAATATGAACAGAACATTCCAGGAACATGTTTTGACTTTTAAGAAAAACTGATTTAATGAAAGCTCTACGAGAAAATATAAGTTACAGATGCTACCTGAACAAGTAGGTAAAGGAAGGTCCAGGTCTTTAGTTTCTTTAATTTCTCAGAGTTTCAACACTGAGTGTAATGTATGAAAATTAACATTTTTGCACACTACAAGGAAGTAGGTCAACAAATACAGAAGGAGATGAAGCTCCTACACACACTGACACACAGCATTTTAAATTCCAGCAGAGCTCAGTACAAAGTGCATGAGAACTCCAACACACTCTAAATGTTCTTTTGAGCTTCACATTGATGTCCGCCCTAATTTTGTAAGAGCGTTGGAGGCTAAATCCAAAGGAATGCATTTTGTTTATTTAGAAACTTGCCCCAAATTAATCAGATCCCCCCGAAAAATCATAGCATGACACACAGATGAGTGACTCAGCCCTGACAAAGCCTCGCTGCAGAAACCAAGCTATTGAACATCTGAATGTCATCGTCCCATCTGATACAGTGGCCACAATGCAACACAATGATGTGAGCTACTAGAACATGAGCCGTATTAAATGTCATTAACAAATTGACTCATCTGCAGACCGCCCCCCATGACAGAGTGATTTACCAGAGAGACATCCAGTCCCAGGATGAGGGAGGAAGGGAGGGACAGGGGAGGAGGAAGAGGAGGAGGAGGAGGAGGAGGCACAAAAAGAGACATAAAACTGGAGATGGATGAGCAAAGGAGAGACAAGGCTGAGAGTCAGAGAGACGGCCGCAAACAGAGGGAGAGAAACAGTAGACAGATGGAGACACCAGCAAAGCAGGTCAGCTGGTGATGCGTGAGTTCGCTGGATGATTATTGATCCTCTCTGTGGGCAATTAGAGAGATCAGTTTCTGACTCTACTGTCCATCGTCATGCTGAGAGGGAAGGGGAAGGTCAGGTCGAGATGCTTCGACTATTACTGGAGAAAGTCTCAACACAGTTCCCCCCTCTGCACGCTATCAGCCAGACAAGAACCAAAACTAACTATTCCTCTGACATAAGAACAAAACATCTGAAGAGATACAACCAGCAACATAAATAAGCAGAATACGATTAAATTATGTACAATTCTTCCTTTATTTGGCCTTTACACTGAATGTATTTGGGATGACTTTGTCCTGCAGGGATGGGATTAATTTGAACCTATTTCTTTGAATTTCAAATGTGAATCACATTAAAATGGCCAAATCACTAATCTGAAAGACATCCAGGCAGCACACATTCCAAATTTTAAAGCTTTTTTGGCTGTCACTGAGCTGTATCTTTCAAATAAGTGATGAAAATCTGCCAGTTTAGCTGGCGTGTTTCCAATAAAAGTCAACTTGTTTCAAGATTTTTCTAGAAATGAGTAACTGCTGCCCAAAAGATTCAGAAAAAAAAATGTTTGTATCAATACAATTCTCAAAATGTGTTGATTTGTATTCAAAAAGGAACACAAAAAGGCTGCAATGGCATGTTTTTTTCTTTTGAGGAAATAATGTTTTCATGTTTCAGTTATAAAAAAAATGAATAAGATGACCATAAACTGTTTTTATTTGTGTGTTTGTTTGTTTGTTTGTTTTGACACAAATCTAAATCAAGTGCCCTGAAATGAAAGTGTAGACTGAATTGTGTATTCTTTGCAGATGTAACCACCCTCATAAACATAAACTAATCCTCAGAGCAAACAGAGTAGAAATGCACCATCATCAGATTTTGGTCCACTCAGCTCACCAGCCCCCATTTCTCTAAAACTTCATCATCAACTATAAAGATCATCACCAGACGTCAGCTCTGCACCAGTACATCTGTCTGCCTGTGCTGAGTAATGACCCCACAATAGAATACAATAGAATAAAATAGAAAGCCTGTGCTGCAGGCTGACCTCCTCCATGGCAGCATTAGGGAGAGGATAATCAGACTAATTAAGTTAAACACCCACAGTGAATGAATGAATGAATGAACCATCAACATCAGAAAATAATGACATTCATTTTGTACCATTTACATTTAAGGATTGTAATGAGGCCTGCAGAAAATATGTTAGCATCTCTATGTCTTTACAAAGGTGCCATACAAAGCCTGTGATGACAAGGTGTTGGCTACATGTTTCATTCATAGGCTCCACAGTGCAGACCCCATCAGCTGATGTAAGAGGCCAGTTTGCGCACTTTAACAACAAGACATGTATTAGTGCTTTGTCATGTTATGGAAGAGACAGATTCTGGGGGGAAAGGTGGGATATTTCCTTATGTTGCACTGATTATCATGTTTTCGTGGTAATCCACGACCCAAACAAATGAGTGGAGCTGATGATTTATTGATGAAGGGCCTGCATGCACAACAAAGCGCCTCCCTTTACTCACCCCGACGACGACAGTGTCGTCTGACACGAATTTGGGGAGAAACCCGTCCCCGCGTACAATCTCCGACTGGTTGAGAGGACGAAAGCGACACAGCACTTTTATGTTGCACTCCGCTGGGACATCGGCCATTGCGCAGATTGAGGGAGGAGGAAGGATGCTGCTTTCTGCTGAGGAGAGGAGGGATGCTGCTGAGGCTGGAGGGACCAGTCGCTGATCGGGGCCTGATCTGACCGTCAAAATAACGTCGAGGGATGCGCAGTGACTTCGTCCTTCTTCGTCGAGAGGACTGTGAGGGCGGTGGAGAGGTTGGACGGTGTTATCCTCACAAGCTGAGAGAGGATGCGATTTATTTATGCGCAGCTGGACGGTGTTTCCTTGTCGCAGTGAGGCGGGCAGGCTAAATTAGATGTCAAATCGCAAAACGATCCCCTACATCATTAAAACAACGGACTCTGCTGTTGCTCGGTTTCCCTTCTTGGTTTCTTTGACGCTGTCTGTCTCTGTTGTGTGTTTTTCTTGTCCTTTTCGGGTGCGGCGGAGGATGTGCGTCAGGCCGGCTGAAGGTGAGATGCTGCTGGAAGGGCAGTGAGGTAAAGCAGCTGACAGTCGGCCTGCTTTGGTCGCCACAGCGCCCTCTATCGGCGAGCACAGGAAGGGCGTGGTCTGCATCCGTCTCTTTAAAGTGGTACCCACAGCCTCGGCATCATCAGCTCAGCATCCTCTCAGGTAGGCGGAAACCAGAGCCCCACGCCGCAGCGTCACATCCTCACAGAGCCATGAAGGATAACTTCATTAGTCTCTGTAAAGCTGCTGCCAGGCCCGATGATGCAGTGACTAATCATCAAAGTCATACTTTGGCCCCTCTCCGATGCCTGACTGTGTTTCTTGGAAGGCATAACAAATCATTATGGGAAGGCAGTCGAGATTATTGATTAAAAGATGAGTTTAGGCCTTACCTTGAAGGAGCATCACAGACTGGGATGATGCAGCACAATGTCAAAAACTGAAGACATATTACCATGCCAATTTAAAAAAATACGTACACTGCTTAGTTACTGAACAGATGAGTCATACAAGTGATAAAAATGTTTCAGAATGCATCCATTTAGCACATACAAGGCTGCAAAAGCTTATGAATTAATTTTCATCAATTCTAAATATTCATCTGCATCAAAATACACAAATAGACAGTTACAGATTATAGAGAGATTTAGATCATAGATTATTCTGCCATATTTTGATTTAAGGAAGCGGCTCAAACTGGAATGCCCATTCTTACCCTCATAGGTGATCCTAAAAATCCTAGATCCAAACTGGAACCATGACTTTAATCAGCAATGAATTAACGGCTTAATCGAATTATTGAATTTTAAAGTGAAATCTGTATAATTTTAAGATATGTATGAAAGAAAAATAAACAGATAAAACACACCTTCATGGAGGTAATAAACTGGGATTTGTGGTTTCCCCTAAGTATGCATTAATTATCCATACTTGTTTTCATAAAAAATAACATGAAGTTGCACCTGAATTTTATTGTTGCGAGGACAACACAGACTGAGCCGCACCGTGGATGGATTACTTACTGGATAAAGTTCAGGGCCATCCCTAGCCTTGACCTGCAAAATGTCAAAGAGACACATATTGACCAAGAGGAGACTCAGAATGACCTCAAAGAAACATAAAATGACTACAAAGAGTCACAAAACGACAGAGAAATGCATGACAACAATTAAGCAACTTCTTAGTCTGTGTGTTTTGTTCCTATGTAGGAGAGGTGGTGGGGCGTTCTCCATACCTGCCCATTGTCTCATAATCTATCCATGGACCCAACATACTGGACCCATCGAAACACCCACATTCGATACTCAGTATTGTTCTCCACTGGACTTCTTCGGAGTACATTTTTAATGTGTACAGGGTGCAGGTATCAGACTTTTCTTTGATATTTTTTGTCACATCATTCTTCACAGGGGTGTCAAACATATAAACCATGCACCAGAACCAGCCCACTAAAGGCTCCAATCCAGCCCACTAGATGACTTTGCACAGCTAATATTGATACACTAAGAGCTGCCAGGTTTCAGGAGCTGGTTTAACATTGAGTAGCCTACATCATGTGAAATGATGTTTCACGCTGGTCAGTCAGGCTTTCCCACCCTGACTGACCAGAATACAGTTGTCTGAAAAAACAATGAATAACTTCTGGGGAAATATTTAAAGATATTGAACATAGTGCAGAACACTGTGAATCAGCAGCTTCTGTACAACATAATCTCTATCAGACTTCTATCCTGAAACACTATTGGTGGAGCCCTGTTGCTAAAGGAAGGTTTTACTGGTCCAATCAAAGTGGGCTGTATGTGGCCCCTGATCTAAAAATTAATCTGACACCCATACTCTAGGATGTAATGCCAATATGATGAGTGTTAAAGACAAATTCAGCTACCTACATACTGCATCACTTTCGCACATCCTTCCAGAAGAGACATCAACACAGGGCACATTTTCTGTAAATAGTTTAATATTAAATAAAAAAGACTCCCATATAAAAAAGAAAGCTACAGTCCACAATTTAATCGTCTTTTTAAACATAAGTATTGAAAGCAAGGGGTAGAATGAGAAAAATACTTAATTACAATTCCCAGAAAAATTCACAATTCATTGTTTTCTCTCTTGTCTCTTTCTCTAACAATATAAAATCAAAATAAAACACATTAACTGTACATATGTACAAATCTCCAAGTGTAGAAATTGCATAATCTGCTTTCTTTTTCACTTTTCTTTATTCTTTTTTTTTTTTTTTTTTTTTTTTTAAATACAGCAAGAGATGCCAGTACTCTTGGGGCAGGGCAGTGTGTGGAGGAGAGCTCAAACAGTGATATGAGGAGACAGAGGGAAGATATTACTCCAAATCCACAGTGACACACGGACTCAACAGATCCACGTGAAGACGTCATCGCTCCCTGCGTTTAAGTTTTCAGCCATTCGTTCAACCAATCAAAGGACATACTGTACTGTTCTTGGATTCCTGCAAATATTATGTTTCACAATCCAATACATTTCCCAGACATTTATCTCATGGCTGAGGGGTGAAAGTTTGGGCGGGTGTTAGGTCAACAGATATTAAATAGTCTCCATCACACCACGGCTACATTTAACTTTTCACAGCGACAAACGACAGCATGTGAAATGTCATAACAGAATGCAACACATGATGCTTTGCTTGCAAATGTCAAAAACTGGATGTTGTCAGATTCACTTAATTGTTCGGGTATCCTGACACGTTATAGCATGATTCAGAGAGTTGTACAAAAGAACTTCATTTTTTAAATTAACGTTTTCTCAGTTCATAACATTATTAGTGATGCACAAACTATTGAGGAACATCTCACAGGACATGTGGAATCATGATATTTTCTGTGTGACCAGTGACTGATGTAAACTGATTCATGAAACCTGATACGGTGAACATTATTTCCTTGGCTTGTCCCATACTAAAGATATCTTATGCGGTGAAAGAAAACAACTCAAGTCTGCTCCTTCTTATATATTCTCTTCCAGGACCTTCTGAGAACCTTTCAAAACACTTCTTTGAAATACAACCACTGTGTCTCTGCAAAGAAGCCTTTATCGGACAAACAACGACAAACAGACAGGGTCTCGTATACTAGAATGAAAATAAATTCCACTAATGGTTGGACAGTGAGGGGCTCAGCAACAGCACTGTTGTCCAACACACACTCAGACACATTGAAAGACAAACACATCCACACACGTACAGACACACTAACAACAGAGAGCATCGTTCAAGTAGTTGGGCTTTATCCTGACTCACAGTTATACACTGATGAGAAGAAAACAGTACTTTTGTCTTTTTGTGTTTTCTCATTGATACAATTCTAACACCAACCATAATTAACAGATCTCTGATCACAATGTTATGTTGTGAACCTAAGAGAAGACCTAAGTGAAAAAGTATCCACATTTTTTTTCCACTTTTTATAAATTAACTTTTCAAACTAGACCTCTCTCCTATGTGTTTTTTTCATAGTGGTTGCCATAACAATGGTTGACATGACAACGGCATAATATTAGTGCAGTTGAATTAAAAAAAAAGAAAGAAAAGAAAGGTCTACACAGTGGTGAAGATGGTGGCGAGATGGAGGGGGGAAAGAGAGGCGTCTGGCCGCCTTTGATTGGTGAACAGCTCTGACTTGCAGCTCCGACGCCACCAATCACTGCCTCTGAGACCTGGCGCCTCGTCGCCTCCTGCCGCGGACTGACCTCTCAGGCTTCAGCAGTGCTGTCTGGACCAAGACACACAGAGAGAAATTACAGTCACATTAGCTTCATCTCCGTCTTGTCCCCCGAGAGGTGGAATTACTTTATCACCGCAGTCAGAACTGCACAATCATTCCCAGCATGAAACAATAAGCTTTATCTTTGGCAATCCCTCCACATCTACTATTTGTTTTCCACCATTCACAGGGTCCTGAGAGTTCAGTGTAAGAGAGAGATAACTGCCCCCCAAACCTACACAGATGCAGTGTCTTTCTTTGCTGTTTTTTTTGCAAACACCCTGCTTTTTTTTTTTTTTTTAACTGAATTAAATTTATTTCATTTTCTTGGATAGGGACGATGCAGTGTGACATAGTTTCAATACAGAGCATGACACCGATGTGCTGCCCAGACACTTAAGGGCTATTGCTAATTTTCAACACTTGTCCCTAGCTGGGCTTTTACATGTACTGTCTAATTTAAGGTCCAGTGTGCCAAGCGTGTAGGAAAACTACAACAGCCGATGCAAAAGGCCCTATTTAGAGCCAGTGTATGGTTTGTCAGTTCAAGGCTACTGTGGAACAACATGGCAGACTCCATGAAAGAGAACTCGCTACATATGTAGATATAAATGGCTCATTCTAAGTTTAACAAAAACAATTCTTAGTTTAAGGTGATTACAAACTAAAGCAGGACATTTCTCAGCCCAAGGACCTCCAAGCTCAAAGAGAGACTGAGCAGGGACCCCTTTCTACATATATTGTATAAAACTTGAGCTGCACTTGAGATGACTCTCTGAATATTCGTAGGTCCTCTCTCGTTTGTGCTTGCTGGTAGCTGCTAAGTCAGCAGCAGCTGTATCATGGCTAGGTGTATTAGCATCACCCTCTGCACTTTCATCAGTGGTTTCTGAGATGGATGGTATGTCTAAGTCTCTGTCTCGACTCACAGTGTGGCCAGGTGGGTCAATGACTTACACTGTGACCTTAATGACTCTGAAACTATGAGCTCACGTGACCCCTACGACTCTGCAAGGGTTCCCACCCACACAGGGTTTATAGCCTACAACTTCATACCAGTCATTTAGAACTACAGAAGCTTCTTGGATGAGAGGCGAGACGTCTTCAAGAAATGCAAGCAAGTCCAATTGCCTACGATTTTAGCACTTATGAGTCTAAGTCTCTTGCTCAAAAAGTTAAAAAGATCCATTTTGGCTCATATGAATGTCCTTACATTTGGAATAGTAATACAGCTAATTGGTAAATACATTTTAATAGTGCAAATGTTAGCTTACTAGTTCACCTAGTAAGCATATTTATGAACAACTGGGGGGAAAAGAGGCTATGCTTTAAAGTAAGACAGGTGGCTTAGAATTTGTTAATAGCCTGACCCAAGACTGTTCAATAATACCAGTGCGAGGTACTAAACATGTTTAAAATAGTTGATCTGTCACTCAGTAATGATGAGCTGGGTCTTACCGTAGCCTTGGTTTCCTCTAGTGCTGTAGCATCCACGTCTCTGAAGTCTTCCAACACATTCTGTAGCCTGATACACAAAGTAAGAAACACATTAATACTCACTAGATCTGAAAGGACTGTGGTTTAGGAACATCAGAAAAAGCATGTCTTGAGACTAGTGCTGATAGAGTACTCAGTTTATTTTCAAACAGCGTTACATACATTACATTTATTTTCCACTTGTACTATCGGAAGACTGCATAAAGCATTCCACCTGCCCAAACAGAAAGCTTACTTGCCAGGGCAACAGCAAGCCCTGCAAAGCGCTGCACACACACTGCGCCGCTGTCGCACATCAGTGCAACTCATAGGACTTAATAGGAAATACGGCTCTTCTCAAAACATTGTCATTCTTAAAGTACAGGTACTAATGTTTTTAATGGCAGGGCATTAAAATATGTCTTTAGTATCTGTGTATCCTGCAACACTACTGGAAAACGAGACCACTTTGATTTTCACTGGAAACTGATTTATCCAGGCGATTCCCTGTCTAGCACATGTCTGAGAAATCCACCATTAACAGGACAACTTACGTTTGTTTCCTTTTCCTTCCTCTTCTGGCTCCACCCGCTGCTCCCGCTTGATCCTTGGGATGTAAAATGAGAAATGAAATCATCTATGAGTATCAGTGGCATAGAAATGAAGCTATATAACTCAATCACAATGTTACTTTCCTCTTTTTTACAGTCTTTGGTCCATACGAAAAAAACTGAATTCTGGTGTCTCAGCAGGATGATTACACAACCCCACTTTATGATATCACATAAGCCTATAAGTTTAAAGCAAACATGAGACCCAGGCACTCACCCTTCCCTGTTCCGTGTGCAGCAATGTCCCAGCTGTCTCCTCACTGGGCCTCCCACTGCATCCATCCCTGGGACTGAGGTACCCTGTGTGGGAAAGATGCCCCTGCCTATCCACCCCTGCCTCCACATAGGGGCACACAGCCGTAGCCGGCCCAGTACAGTCTGTCTTAGCCTCCTCCAGGTATATGGGTGGCAGAGGAGGCTCTGGGTGGGTATGTCCCTCTACCATAACCGGTTTCCTTTGTAAGGGTGATGTAGACCCATCTTCGGTGGGTTTGGGTGTCCCCTGGGCTGGGGAATGGGCTGCTGCTTCCAGGCTGAGTCGGGATAAGTCTGGGTTGCGGAGGGAACACGCCCGACGTGGGCTGAGGGAAACTGGGGCACTTGCCTGGGGAAGAGTTGGGACAGGGGTGGATGGGGTATGGTGCTCCACAGGGAAAGAAACCGGCGGTAAGGCACAGAAGGGTGAAGTGGGATCAGATGGCCCCAAGTGGGCCCTATCTTCCTGTTCTTTAGCACTGACTTGAAGGAAGGAGGTATAAATCGTATCCATGAAAGAGGTGTAAGGATCGATAACAGACCTGCCCTCAGATACTCGCTGTGGGGGTGGGGTGTGTTCTTGGGCAGGGGGTGGAGCAGGAACAGGACTGGGAACCACTTCGGGAGCCATCTGACTGGCTGGAATGTCTTCCTGTGGGGCAGGACTTTGTGTTTCCTGCAATGACATTGGCTTCTCTCCTTCTGAGGGTGGTGCGAGGTTTAGCTAGAGGAGAAAAATTTAAAAAAAAAAACAGTTAATCCAATCAGTAACAGTCAAAGATCCCAAAAATGTTAGGGAACAAATAGTGACTATGTTTACATACACAAATATTACAGTTTTGTCCTTACTGTGAAGAAGACAATATTTCTACTAAGAAGTTTGCATTGTTAATGAGAAATGAATATTCCACAATATTCCTGCTTACGTGCAGCCTTGCTCTGATTAACGTGCCATAACATGTTGTTTATCATGTCAAAGTATGGAGAAGTTAAACAGCTGGAACCACTTGTGCCATTTTGCTTCTTTGTATCAAAACAGGATTTTTATAATGTGTTCGACCGTGTGAACGCAGCCTCTATCCTTCATTACTTCAACCAACTTCTTGAAAATGTCAGTATTGGAATATTTGCTCATATCCAAAAACCTGAATAGACAAGAAGCTGTGCTTTGCTGAAAAAAAACCCACAACTGAGACGCATATTCTGAGTGCGCTGTACACAAGTATAAAGAACGCTATTAAAACGTGAATAACATAATATCAGTAAATGCTTTTTTAAAACCTACATGTTGATTAAATACATGTCTGACACATTTAACTAACAGCTGAAGACTGCTCAATTGATCCATGTACTGAAGGTCCTGGTTAAAAATTATCGAGTTCATATGTTGGTATCATTTCACACAACAGTAATAAAAGTTTAACTGGGAGAATGTAACCAACTGTGACACTCTGTTAGAGCTGTTTGACCTATAAAACCACTCAATTCACTCGCGGTTACTGAGTGGACTTTGTTCCCTCACAAAAGATCATAGGCTGAGTTTAGACACCAGCTTGTAGAGAGCAGAAGTGTGATTTACACTTGTCTTCAAGTTTCTTACAGAATTAACATTCATAACTGACAGCTGATACGACCTGCTACTGGTGATGTTTGTAAGCTTAACCAGTGAAAGCACAGGTCAGTTCAGCCTAAATATGAGAAGCTGCTACCTGGATGTTTTGTCCACTGCTCTACACGCCAGTTACCTACCTGTATATTATTGAGCAAGTTGATAGCTCCATCAGGACCCTGCAGCAGAGGCATGCCCAAAGCAGAGGTCTGGACTGGGGGTAGGAGGATGGAACCTGCTCCAATCCCCAACATGTTATGGAGGCCTGCGATGCCAGAAAGATCTCCTACAAAGACAAATTCAGAGAGGAATTGATGAAATGGCTTACTGCTGTAGAATGCCTGCAATGTTTTAAGTTTTAAGACTAAAAGCAGTTAGTAAGCTTTGCTGGTTTATTTCATTTATTTATAATCTTTAGACAGAAGTGTTACACTGGGTGGACACCAACTCACCTAATACAGCAGAGTTAAGCAAAGTGGGCAGTAACTGTTGGAGGATGGGGTTGTCCTTGCCTTGGAGAGAAAGGGGGATGAGGGTGTCAACACCAGCATCAGTAGGTACCTGGAGAGGAAAGTACAGTAGAGGAAAGAGGAGTTTAGTTATTGTGTCAAGTAAACAAATTATAAAATAGAAAATCAAAGGGAAAAAAGGTAGCGATGGGGTCTCAGAAATACAGAGACAAGACCAAATTCTTCACATTTTCAAAATTAAAAATGTTTCCAAAAACATATACATCCATCCCTGACATACATTAAGATAGACATGTTGTAACCAACCCAAACAAACCATGTAGTTTAAGTAAAGCTTCGTTTGAAAATAATTTAGGGAAGAACATATTTTAGCGGTAAAGGAAAACAGTTGATGAGTTTGTGTGGAAAGTAAAAAACTAACGCGGGGGAAACAATGGAGCAGTTAAGGAAATGAGCTCACATATTTTTATAGGAAAACCAGAAGGAGCTCAGAGGAAACAGCTACAGGAGATAGGGGAGCCTACCTGAGGTTGGTTATGTTGGGTTTGCTGTGCAGGAGCTAATTGGGTGTGGGGAGGCGGGTGGAGCTCGGCAGAGCTCAGGGCAGCAGTGAGCAAGGCAGGGCTGAGGGGCAGGAAGGCTGCATGGGGAGGAGGAAGAGCGGCAGGAAAGAGCAGAGACTGCAGGGCTTGGAGAGAGCCCTCAGCTCCTGGAGGAACGGGGAGAAGGCTCTGGGCGACCTCCAGGAGCCCCGGGCCTGATAGAGTTGATGGATCCAGAAGGCCAGAGGTCTTATCCAAGGTGAGGCCCTCTAATGTGGTGGGGATCTGCTGTGGCTGCTGGAGAGGGACTTCCAAGCTGACCTGGCTCAACTGACCCAGCCCAGACAGAGGTAACAAAGGCGTCTGCTGTTGCCCGAGCAACAAGGAGGCCATAAGCAGAGCCTGGAGGCTAGGTTTTTCTGTTAGCCCTAAATCAGCTTCCTGTCCTGGGGTAGTGGTTGAGGCAGGGGGTGGAAGGGGGTTCAGCAGGCCCAAAAGGTTCAGAGGCAGCTCCCCTTGGGCACCACTCAACAAGGGCAACAAGGGAAACAAAGGATTGTTTATCTGTTGTTGTTTCTGTTGCTGATCCTGGTTTTGCTGCTGTGTCTCTTGTTGTTGTATCAGTAACTGCTGCTGCTGCTCCGATTGCTGCTGCTCTGCAACAGTCTGTGGTGGTTGTGGTGTAGCATTGGCGGGGGCAATCTGTGCATGTTGCCCTCCCAACCACAGCCCTCCTAAGGGCAATGACGCCAGGACTGTAGGGTCCAGGAGGGATGGTAGACCTCCTGTGGATGACAGCAGCTGAAGCAGCTGCTCTTGGTTCATGAAGGGGAAGGCCTCTGCCAGAGGTAAGGGAGAGGTTGAGTCGCCCAAAGCCGAAGGGGTGTGAGGACTGTGATTATCCCCGAGACGAGAGGAGATAGCCGGCCCAGGGCTGGTGGCTGCTGGAGGTTTAGTCACTATGGAGTCTTTTGGGTCCACACCTCTATGCTCCTCTGGCCCTGTGGGGAAGACATGAATCATTCTCATCTGTTCAGGATGACTTATCAATCACTAAACACATTTTACAAAAGGGGGCTTGAGCTGAACAGCATGCAGTGTTTTACACAGGATTTAACTGTGGTGGTTGAATCTGGTACATCAATGAACATGTACACTCATATTCATCTAGGGCAAATCCTATAAAGGGTGCAGAAAACAACTGTGACCCTTCCCCTGGACCATCCTAACAGATGCAATCATTCATAAAGCCTGATTTAAAGGGAGAGCTCATGGCCACATGCAAAGTTCATATCATTGAGCAAAATTTGTGAGAGCATCTTTTTGATGTCTATATTGGTACATTTTAAATATACTGCAAAGCTCCACAAACCTCCTTACTTCAATACATTTTGGAAAGTTAAGGTTATATGTTCAAGATTAAAAACACACTTCAGACTGAAAAAGATCTTCACCTTCAGTGGGATTTTCTTGGGAAGACATTACGACATCAGTGGCATGGTCGGAGGTGCTGCCCTCCCCCTGGGGTGCGGTGGAAGATGCTGCGAGAAGGGCCAGGACATGGTTGCTAAGATCAAGAGGCTTCGGGGAGCCGGATATCGCCATAGAAACACTACCTTGAGAATGACTCAGGTCCACTGATGCAGATATGCTGTTACTACCAATGTCTGTTGCCACAGGGCTCTGTGGTGAGTCTTCCTGCAATGGTGCCTGGGAAACAGAGTCTATTGTAGGAATGTGATTCTCAGTTGGTTGATGCTTGTCTGAGGGAGTTGGGAACGTAAGCTGAGACGGGCTGCTGCTGTTGTGTAAAGCTAAATTTGAGTTGGGCAGCACTGTATTAGAGGGAGAGTGTCTCTGAGAATGCAAAGGACTTGATTTAGTAGACCTAGGATGCGTTGGAGACTGCACTGATCTGAACTGAGGGGATGTGGGGGGAGGAGAAAGCGGCTGTAGCACAGACGGTAGAGGATTAGTGTTACTGGTTCGGCATGGTGACCGAGTCTGTGGGTGCCTGACATTAGAATGAGGGGCAGGAGAAGAGGGTGAGCGTCTGGGGCTCTGTTTATTAGTGTGTCCACCTCCTTCAACAGACACAGATCCTGGCTGGTTAGATGCTGATGCTGAGGCTGTGGCCTGCGCATTCTGCACACTGAGCAGGTGTAACAGAGCAGACAGAGGCTGGGTTGGAGGATCTAAGCCAAGAGGTGTAGATGTCAGGCCTGTAGTGAAATCCAGAGTCTCGGTTTGTCTAGGAGGCCTGGTGAGTTGCGCCATCTGTCGGGGAGCAGGGAGCCTTGGCGTCTGCCCGGGGAGGAGATGATGGTGGTTTTCTAACATGACAGCATTCTGGTTCTGCACAGCTGAGGTAGAGGAGGAGTGCGAGGATGAGGGGAAGGAAGAGGAGGAGGAGGATAGGTTGATAACTGTAGCAGAACCAGTGTCTCCTGGTGGGGTCTTCTGCGGCCCATTAGCCAGCTGCTGGGTGTCTCTTAGCATGCTGAGCACTGTCGGAGATCGGCGTTGCCTCTTCCTGTGTGACGCATTGCGCTCTGCTGTGGAGGGCAGGTGGGGCAAAGAGGAAGCCAGGGACTGGGCCAGAGAGTGGGATGGAGGAAAAAGGACGGAGGAGGCTGCTGCAAGGGAGGGATGGGGAGGCCTAGTAGAAGCATTGGAGGAGGGAGGGTGGCTGTTATGTAAAGTGCTGTTTGTTACCTTTGATGACTGTTGGTGTTGTGCCTCTTTCAAGACCTCCAGAGAAGAGGGCAAGTTCACCGGGTTGCTAGCCCCCTTTGAGCTCTGGCCCTGGTTAGCCAGCTGAGCCTTGGCAGCCGCAGAGAGCAGGCTACTTGCAGGGAAAGAAGCTGGGTGTGGCAACTTGCCCTGATGACTGTGGTGGTGGTTCAGAAATGGCCCCAGAGGTAAACTAGAAGTCCCTGCGGAGTTCAACCCAAAACCTGGTGGTCCTGCGCTAGGAATCGGACTCATGGTGCTCTTTGAGGGCTTCGCGGAGAGGGCATTAGGGTTGCTACTGCTTTGGTTGGTCAGTAAGGAGGGGTTAGTAGGTATTAGGAGGTGGTGGTTATTAGTGCTGCTGTTGCCTGAGTTCTTAAACTGCTCCAAGATGTCTTCCAGCTTGTACTTGGGGAAGTGTGGGCTGGGGTTTGGGGAGCCACCAGGGAGAGGGGAGTGCGGAGAGGAAGAGGTGGATTTCCTCCTCTGAGGCAAGTTACTTCCCATCAGTCCTCCTCCTCCTGCTGCTGTTGAGCCTCCTCCCTGATCAGAGAGAGGGGAAGGAGAGGCTGAAGGGTGGCGGGACCGCTGGTGAGGAGACATACAGTTCATGTTATGGACAGAGGGAGAGCGGGAGGGAGACGGCGAGAGGGGGGAGCCTCCCACAATGACACCATGAGGATGATGAGCGTGAGTCTGTGCTCCTCTTCCTCCTCCACCCATGGTCATAGGGGAAGAGGGAGGAGGTGAAGAAAGGGGCCCTAGCCGAGGAGAACCCGGAGTCTCTGGGGTTTTGGGTGTTCTTCGACCTTGAGGTGTGGGGGTGTGGGGTGACCTCTGGGCAGTGCTGTAAGCTGGGAATGAGGAAGTGGAGGAAGAGCTGGAGGAGGCAGGAAGGGGAGGAGGATGGTGAAGCCTTCTCAAAGCATCTAGGGGATGGTGAGAGTTTGTGCCTGTGTGGAGTACAGGGGAGGAACCATTGTAAGGGTAAATAAAGTGGTGGGAGGACTTGGGGCTGGCACAGGGATTCATGTGCAGGTTGCTGTGGGCTCGAGCTGGGACCGGATGGAGTTTGGGATGGTAAATGCCATGGTCCTCCTCTTCCCGTTCCACAATTACTCGCTTTGGATCACGGCTGTCCACTCCACTGCTCATCTCTGAAAGTGGAGACACACACACACACACACACACACACACACACACACACACACACAAAGCATGGAATAAAATGCTGCTAGTTCAATATGACAGCACTGAAATGTGGGTAATGGTGAAGGTACTTTCTCTGCTTTCATAAAAGGGTTTGCATACAGTCTACAAAATTAAAAAGCTGAGAATTAAAATTCTGCCCCAAGTGCTCAGTAGGAGCATTTTGATGTTTGATTTTAATGCCTGAGGTAATCTTGAGGCCACGCTCGGTCTTCTACCTTGGAAACACCACCAAACATGATGAGAAGAAGCTGCCACCTTCTATTAGCTATTACATTTCGAAAATCCAATGTGTCCTTGGATGTAGTGTTGTCAAAAATATCAATTTATCAATACATATTGATTCTGAATATCTGAAACGGTTTAAGTACTCATTTTCTGCAGTATCAATACACTGGTACCAGCTGTGCTTTCTCGTTCTCTCTTTTCGTTAATGTTTATTACCGTCAGTCTGCTGTTCTCTGCTACTAACTCAGAACAAAAGTCAGCATTGTCAGGTCATAGCAGTGTTTTATTTATCTAATTTTAAATGGTATGCCCTCAATGTCAATTTTCTTCCTGTGGCAACAAAAAACAATATTTTTTCAAGGTATTGTATCGAAGTTAGAAATTCCAGTATAGTGACAACACTGCTTGGAAGCAGAGTGTGTGTCAAAGAATGCAACACAAAAATATGACCCCTTCTACGGGAGCCCATGTATTTTGGATAATATATCATTGTGTGCCTTGTATGTTCATATAATCTTGTAAATGATTGTTTGACTCTTCTGTAATTGGGCATTTAACGCATGCCTGTGTGATGCAGAAATCTTGTACTACAGTGAGATTTAACCCATTCCAATAACTCATGTCCAAAGGGATGATGCATTTGGTTTCACAACTCTGTATGTGCACTATCATGGATCCGAGGAAGAGAGCAGAGGGTAAAAGTACAAAACAACCAAATAATTAAAAGGGAGCTGACAATAGTTTTGTCAAAATATAAACAGACTTGCAAAGAATAAAAGAGATGAAGACTAATCCACATGATCATAATGATGGGATGATTTTTTCCACCAACCACACCTTATGATTTTTGCTCAGTGTCTTCTGTTTCCCATGTGGAAGTACATTACTGGTATTAAAATAACAGTGGTTTCAATTCCTTGTGGCTGACAGCTGCAGCACTGACTAGCGTTCGTTTTTCTTTCTTTCAATCCCACACCCACCTGCTCCCACAGGATTTCCGATCATCACTGACTGCTCTGACAGATACCCCAACCCTCTCCCGCCTCTCCTGTGGTGATTCTGATCACACACACACCATCAAAAGCGTTTTCTATTGAAAATCTGTCTATCCCTTCCCACAGGGAAACAAGACAATTTTAGCTTGTTCAGTTCGTACTGCTTCAAGATAAATCCATAAAAGTGTGACTAAACATGGATCATGTCACAGTTTCTCTGATAACTAATGTTGATTCACATATAAACAGGCACAAACCAGATGGTAAAGTATAAGCCTTCAGAGAGAATAAGAGAAAGGAAATGGGGGACAAGAGAGCGAGGGAGAAACTAAATGGAAACATCTGATTCTGTGTTTTGGAGGCGTGTCGTTTACTGGAGGAAAGTGTATTTACATGCGTGGTGAGGCTCAATAAAAATGGCCTCTCATACTTTCACTAATTAAATTTTATATCCAGTTCACACCACCACGGGGATGATACTGGCAAAGCACTCCCACACACGTTAGGGTAACATTAGGGTACATCTGCATTTGTTCCTGTGGGACCTGTGAGATCATAGTCCCTTTACATGAGGTTAATACAGCATACAAAGGACACTCAACCCCAATATAAAAAGCTCTGGGGGAAATGTAGAGACACCTTACAGACAGACTACATCCACATCAAATTAAAATTAACATTTCAAAAAGCTATTTCAATAGATTTGTTTATGATTTGTTCACCATGTTTGATAATATATGTACAGCAGTAGTGTGTCTCACTGTTTCAAAATTTACCTGGATGATGAAGGTTGGCAAAGGGCAGCTGTGAGGCCTGCATACTCCGACACAGGGCAGCCATCGCTACCACTTTCCTGCGGTGGTTACAGAGTTTGGTCATGTCCTGCTCTGCTTTGCCTAATGGCTGGCTGTGCTGCTCCACCTTCACTCCCACAGTGAAGTTGAAAACCTGCAGAACACCATTAAGGACAGTTAAGGGCACCAGTGGGGGTATTTTACACTCATAATATGCAAAGTCACACAAGGATCATTGCTTATCGCAGGCTATGTGCACTCACATTTTAATAAGGAAAAGGTTAGCCATGATTACACACAGTTGGACGAACTTCAATTAAAAAGTGAGTCAAAGATATTTAATTCATGGGGGATGTCACATGCCTGCATGTCCTTCAAAACAAAACCCTTCCAGTGCAGGAAGGAAGTACTATGCCACTTAAAGTTCACAATGTTTGATTTGCTTTCTACATAATAGTAATATAAACATATATTGTTTAAAAGCAGCATGTATTGATATAAAATAACTAGTGAAACTAACCCACTGAGAAGGTCAGGTGAGTTTAAAGAGGTTAAAGGTCAGCACCATGCTGTTAAAATATGTGTATAAGTGCACATTCAAGTGTCACAGAGCTACTACATCTGAAAACTGAAGACCAGATAATATGGGGATATAATGTCAGGGCTTGACGCTAACTTTTTTCCCAAGGAGCACATGTGCTCCTAAGTTGAAAAAGTAAGGAGCGCACAAAGAACATTAGGGGCACAATGTAAATTGATCAAATAATGTGTTTCCGTAATAAACATGATGCAAATAGACATTCACAAGCAAAATTATTTAATGAATTTGTATACAAAATGTACAGAAAGGTAAAATCCATCAAGTTTTGAAAAAGTATTGCAATTTAATTTTGTCTTTAATGTTATTATCTTATATATATTATCTTTGCAATATGATTATCTTATATAATGTTATTACTATCCTAAAACATTCTCCAGGTCCTCTGAAACTCTGCAGGACTTATTTCCACCCTGCCCAGCAGCGGTACCATGGCGAACGGTCCCTAACTGCGGGGAGAATGGAGCAGGCTTCCTCGGAGGTCCGCCTCTTTTCCCGGTCCCTCTTCTCCGCCACACTTTGACTTATTCCCACCCAGACGACAGCCTGGCCGTGGAGAACGGTCCCTAACTGCAGGGAGAACGGAGCAGGCTTCCCCGGAGGTCCGCCGCTTAACCCGGTCCGTCTCCTCCACACTTTGACTTATTTCCACGCTGCCGATAGTGGGACTTATATTCATTGTGCCGACAGTGGCTTGGAAAACCGCCCATAACTGTGTCACACGGGGAAGAGAGAAGAGGGAAGGCTGCTGGAGTTCCTCCAACATTTGCGGTTAGATTATCATATTTTTTTTATTGACAAAAATATAGGCTGCTTCGGCTGATTTTTTTATGCGCACATGTGCCCCTAAATATTTTTTACAGTTTGCACACACCTATTTTTAGTCACAAATGCGAGTGAAACGCTCGCACTGTCGAGCACTGAATGTATACTGTATTTTGTCTGTATTGCCTACTCTTACTACACATACACATACACAGACAGACACTACACAAACAAATAGACCGGCTTTACCTTATGGATTATGAGTGGACACTCAAGACCACATTTGCAGGTGCCATCAGTCAACAGATAGGTCTTGACCTCGTCCAGAGAGGACAAGGCAGTGCCACTGGGACTACAGACAGAAGACAGACCCAAACTGTTACATCAGTAAACCCAAAGCAAACTAAAAAAATATGAAGAAAACATATGTTTAAAGTACGGCAGAGAGAAGAGACCTCAAGATCTCCATATTCATAATTTCATTGAGATTTGAGAATGTGAAGCACTTAAAGCCATCTGCTGTATTAGAGAAACTCTGAAATCATATTTTAGCCCAGGTAATTTAAACAATTTAAAAATTAAAAATGTAGATGAAAAAATAATCTAAAAAAGAATTGTAAAAATCCCCTGAAATAAACAAGTAAACACTGAACGGATTCAGTACAGCCCACAGGATATTTGTGGTGATGAAAAAACAGCCTTATTATATCACCCTTCCTGTCTCCTTATCATCTGCCTTCATGTCTTGCAGTTACTTGCCTTGCTAGTCAACAGTGATTTAACTTATCGTAAATCCAGGTTATAGCCCACATAGGAATAAGGGGTTGTTTCATTATAGTATCAAGCTCATTATTGTTTATACGTTATTCAGCTTCTGTCTATTCTATTGTCTTGAAAATGACTCTTGCAGGGAACATTCCTCTGATACACAGGGATCCTAAGCAATTTCAGATTTTACACACTTTAATTTTGAGCAAGATCCAAACCACTGTTCAATGAAAAACGTGTATTCAAATCAAATAAAATGAACTCTTCTCACATGATCTGGCCAAGGTTAATAAGGCAAATGAAAATCTTATCTGGGAAAAAAAACAAAAAAACAACACTGCATCTTTATGCAAATGTCAAAAACAAAACCACAGAAGCCGCAAGTCTCCTTTGCAGATAGTATCCCTCCAATAATGTTGGCAAATGCACTCTTATTTCTCCAGAGTAAATGACACACAAACATACAAACTCATGCATGTGCATAATTACATCCATACAAATTAAAATCCTCTGTCCAAATATTATAAACACCAGCAACACATCTGCATATGCTTCTGTTCAACTGAACCAACCCACCTGACATAGATCACCTGCCCGCCCTCCACTCTCCTCTGCCAGCCGATGGGGATGTGTATTGCAGTGTTGCGGACCCCATCCTTGTCCCCACTGACAGTCTCACTGCCTCCCATCATTTTGTAGCTGCGGCCTGCCAGCACCTTGGAAAAGCAGCAAAATGATTCTAAATCTTCTCTGTAATCTCATAAAATGAATTTAAAGATCCAAAGGGTTGTCTTTAATACATATTCTATTAGCCAGAATATCATTGTTCTGTATTTGAAAAGTCAGTGTCATCAACTAAAATGATTCATGTGTTCATTTTTCATGTCACAGGCTTAAGAAGTCTTACAACATGGGTAATATTCAAAACTAGGGACGGGCATTTTAAGTACTTTCCATATACAAGTACTTGCATTGAATTAGCAGAGCACTTGCAAAGAAAACATTTATCTAATGTAACACCCAGGTGAAAATGTGGGTTGGGGGTGAGGATAAGCCTTCTTTCTTCACACCACCAACTGTACAGATTAGCTATGATACACACGTTTAACATTACAAAGCTTGCACTGCATATTCATTTGGTCTATTTTGTCTGCATACTTCCAAACACTCCTATGCCTAGTCACCATTCTGCCTGTAAAGTTCGATCTACAAATGTCTGGCTGACAACACTGGCTGTTGTCTGCAGCTGCACAGATCTATTATTTTTTGCTAAATGGATCTGTGCAGATATCAATAGACAGCAGTTACGTCACTGTATATAGCACTGTATATAGCTATGATATAAAACAGGGTCATTCATAGGTATTATATATGTTTTCTTTTAGAAAGCAAAAAATAAAATAAAGCCATTACTCTCTATGTTGAACAAACACTAACATCCAAATTGAGTACTCGAGTACTCACACCCATCCCGATTCAAAACTGAATTTTACATTTATAATTTTTAATTTCATAGCCATCAGTCAATCTTAAAATGACACTTTACCAGAGCTTTAAAATGGTCAAAACTCATACATACTTTTATAGCCCAATATCAAAAAAGGCTCCCAACCCAGTTGAACTTCTTTTAAAACTGTATGTAGCTTGTTGTGTCTCACTGTCAGTCACTAAATAATTTAACACATGCATACATAAAATGGATGAACAAACAACTCTGCAGTGAAGTCTAAGATATCAGTGTTCTAACCTGCATGCTAAATGTGTGAACCACATCATCTGATTACACAACTGCAAATTAGAAAATGTAACTCTGACAGGATGATGACATCAGCCTAGGTTTAACAAAACCATGAAGAGTGCATGCCAAAAAGGCTGCTAATTAAATATACTGCACTTTTTTAATGACAGTTACTGAGACTTGACTTTCCAGATGTCTTCTACGTCCCCAGAAAGGTCTGGCAAATTGCCCAACATTTGCTTTCCTTATGTCTGTGCTCCACAACTCAAGCCTCTGTAGAATTTTGTCTCTAACAATTAATACCCAAAATATAATGTAAATGCATCACCACTGGGTGTGGCCACGAGAAAAGACAATATGTTTATTGTCATTGCAAAGTAATGAGACAACAGAATAACTGAAGCACAGTCAGCTTACCTTGTCATCTTTGAGAAGCCAGGATCTGTTTTGGCTAGGGTATCCACTGTCCACTGTACATGCTGGTGGGTTAGAAGCACACAGACTGCCAGTAAAACCTGACCTGATGCCCCAAAACCTGGACTTTGCTCAGCTATGAGACAGATCCACAGTTTAGAGGATGACAGATTTATTTGTTCAGATCACATCAGAGTAGGGTCTTGGATGAAGATGGAGAGCCTGCAAAGAAAGGTGGAGGTGGATTATGTAATCTGACATGGAGAACCAGGCTAAATAGCTCATGTGCTAAATAATTTCCTGCAGCTGATATGACCCAAGCCTACTTCAAAAAACGATTACATCCGATGCATTGCTCTCTCAAAAAGAATACAACTAAAGAGCAAGCTGCGGCTACTTTGAAGTGGGAGGGTGTGTTTGGATAGGCCCGTGGTTTGCTGGATGTTTAGCTACAACATAAGCAGCTGACTTTCCAGCACGCAATACAGAAGCTAACAAGCTAGCAACATGAAGAGAACTTAAAATGAAATCGTCAGTGCATTCGTAGTTGAGCTTATGTCGACATCTTTGCAGCCTGCAGCCAGGGAACAATATCTCACTAACTACACGACTGATGCACGGCAGGCTAGCAGCTAAGCTAACAGCTAAGCTAGCTAGCTACCCTATTTTGTACTGTGTTGTCGTGACAGCTGTCAGGCGTACAAAACACTCCGATGCAAAACTCTTGCGTGTTAGCTACGGTTACAAGAAACGAGCCAGACACAATACTGCTTCCCAAAGACACTCTGTGAATTTAATCACCATATCGCACTTACTTATTGACGTCCGTTAGCTAACGTTAATGTTAGCAGGACCTATCAACCTTTCCCTGCGTCAGGCTCTCTGTGTTGGCGAAGTTTTGGAGTCTTCGCTTTTCTGGCTCGCGGGAGAATCAAGAGTTAGCTGGCTAGCTAACGGACTAGCCAGAGAATGTTTTGGAAACGGCCGATACTTTAGTAAATAACCGTAAAATAAACAATTCTATCATCCAGATCGCGTGTTCGCGCGATCAATCAGCTCTCAGCGTTTATGCAACGTCTGCCAGTCCGATTTAAAAACAAAGGGCAATAACGCTTCATTTTACTGCGCCTGGGATCTCGGGGCTAACGCTACCAGCTAGGCTAGCAGAGCTAACTGACTGAAATTTACTTGATTCTGGAGTGTCCCAACAAGACTGAAGGATGTCCCGCTCCCGGTGCACAGTTATCCAGCCGTCGCTTTGGTCTCTGCTCTGCTAAACCGTCTAGATTTCAGATGTATTCCGACAACCATAACGAGCCATGTAATCCAAAATTCACAGTTTCCCACTGTTTTTTTTTTCTTACAGATTCCGAGCAAAAAAAAAAATAATGGAGTTTTCTGTCGGGCATGCGCACTCAGCGCTCAGGGACTATTGTACCCGACATGCAACGGGACCTTTGTAGTGTTCCAGACAGACATCAGTGCGGGGCTCCTTGATAGAGGACATGATAATGACAGAATAATAACAGGCCTGGGATTCATGTCTGCAGTTCACAATAATGGACTCATGAGCACCTGCCTACACTGAATTAAAGCCCAGATAACACAGCGTCTATCCAGATACACTAATGATAAGTAAGACATACCAAATTACATAAGTATTTTATCTCAAGTGTGCAGTTTATAAATGCGTTTTACATTTTATTTTCATTCCCTGATTTCCCTCATATAATTCTCACATGCATTCTTCCATCCACCTCAATGTGGCATTAAAGGTTATAAAGAAATGTCTGTCAAGGTAGTAAAGTAATAGCCTTGTGTGTGTGTGTGTGTGTGTGTGTGTGTGTGTGTGTGTGTGGTGTTGTCTGTGATTACCATATTTCAGAGAGCATACCATACAGATTTTTGGTACAGACTGAATAAGACAGCCTATTAAAGCAGGTAAAAGCCCTGGGGCCACCACATGACAATAGTATGTGGTGTTTAGATTAATTACATTTTTTAATACTGTATGCACCATTACAGTACAACAAAAAAACTGAAATGATAAGAGCCTTAGGGTGACACCTGAACCCTTTTTCTTGTCGAGGGGCCCTCAAGATTATAAATTTAAAAAGTAGCCATTAATTCAGTTTATACTGGGTTTACATGTTGCAAATTCCTAAATATGGTCTATTTATTCCTTATTAATTTACTAACATGTAATTGCTAACAAATAAACACAAAATACAGCAGAAAGTGTGAAAAAGGGTTGGTCAGGCACACAGCACATGTGTACCCAGAGGCCCCTAGCACCACCACCAGGACAAACCTTCAACTTTCAGGTGAACTATTAGTTGTATGCACCAAACATCTCAGGGGGACTTTCATGCTTCGAACATAAGAAAAAATAAGTTTTTATTTCTAAGACCCTATATGTCCCACCTCCTGAAATCTCCAAAGACCACCATCAGAGTCACTGTGACTTAATCAACGTTTCTGTCATCTATCTTTAACAATTGCTGTGAAAACTGATGTGAATTATTATCAGACAAAATGTTTAATAAAAAGGTAATACCTGGGTTTGTGCATTGTTCTTGGACTCCAAGGGATAAAAGGACAAGGACAGTGAGCGTTATGAAGACAGAGAGAGAGAAGGTATCTGATTTCCCTTCGTCATCAGTGCTCACTCTGAGGTCCCCAGCTGTCGCAAACAGTCTGCTTGACACATGAGTGCCCAGCTTAGCACACACACAAACACACATACAAATACACACACAAAATCATATGTACGCAAATACAGACATATGCATAACACCCAAGCCTGAAATCACCTCGGAAATTACCTACAGAGGAAATAAAGACAGGGCCCAGACTGTGTGAGTGTTGACACAGAATCCTGAGGGCCTGAAGTGAGGAGGCAGGTTGGTCAACTGGTTTGTTAGACTCAGATCCACTAGCCGTGCAGCGCTCCAGTCATCATCAGCAGGTGAAGGACTCATTCACAGAGAGATTTACCCACACGCTGGATGTTGTCATTTCTTCTCTGAGCTGCGTGAATTTTACCAAGAGGTATGTTCCAGTTTGAAGTTTGAGTTATTCCATTAGAAAATGTGTTTGCATGACGAAAGCATGAAAGTTAATTTATTTAGTTACATTTCAGTACGGCCGCTACATATAGCTTACTAAATATACTCAATACTAGCTGTGTAACTGCCATAGTAAGTGTTATTACCAGTTCACAAAGCCTGATTTTTATTGCTGTCACACTTTCGAGAATTTTGCTCTCATTTTCCTGACTGGCAGAGGCACCCAAATTTAGCAGTGATGAGATTGAATTTCACAACCCTAGAATAGTTTGGGTCAAGCAGACAAGTGCACTCATACAGTATGTGTCTACAAGTGCAGAGCTACGTGTAACTTTTTGTTAATACAGACACAAAAACAGATCCTGTATATCAGTTTGTGTCACTGTTTCAAACAGCAGTGTTTGTACTAGTTTCTACATGACAAACAGCACATATAAGTCTACTGTGTCTATTGTTTTATATCATTATCATCTTGTATAAGATAGAAGATGATGAAATACGGAGCCAAAATGTATTTAATACATTTGGACTGGGTGCCACATGAAGGCCAACATTCACACATGACAAATAGCTGCTAAATACAATCTTATTTCATTCAACTGTGTCTCTATGAATATTTAGAAATATGCACATATGGCTTGTGGTACTTGTTAACTTTACCAACCATGCTATATAACAGTTGAAATAGTTAAACACAGACTTTTTGTGCAGTGTATTTGAGTTCTAAGAGATACAAGACAGACGTTTAGTACTTTAATAAAGTGCTTACTCTCCATGTTTTTCCACACAGGCAAATAAAGTATCCATGCATTTTCAAAAATACATAAGATAAAGTCCTTTGCCTGATAGCAGTCATCTGCATTACTTGCAGTTACAATTATTTGCTTCTGAAAAAACTGTAATAAATATATATATTTATCTCTGTAGGTGGGGCAGCACTGACATTATCCACCAAACACCATGGACCAGTGAGTATATTTCCTGAAAACAGTTCAATTACCTCTGCAATACGAACATACTGGTTGCCCTACTTTGCCTGCCTGGCTGCACCTCTTCACCATCTCCACAAGCCTCCATTTAAATTATAGTGAGCTACAAATGTAACAACAGCCCAAACTGGAAACCACAAAAACCTCCTAACCAATGTGCTTTCCATCCATGTCTTTCTAGAGTTTATTCGAGTATGATAATGATTAAGTAGCTCCATGTTCATTTGAGAAAATGTGTCACAGGAGTCTCCCCGAATAAATAATCAACACTCAACTATTTTGAGGTGGAATGGCAATTTGATATCGGCACAAAGCATTTCGGTTACGTCAGGTCACTCCATGAGGTTGTCCTGTGGCAACACTGTTACTCTGACTTTGGCAATTTCTACCTTCACATACTAGTTAATGCTAAGTGAAAGTACTGATACATAGCAGCATGGTTTGATCACACTCATGGCTTTGTGTTTTTCTTTGTGTGTGTGTCAGGGAGGATGACAAAAACTCTGTGGATATCCATGACAACCCTCCAGCTCCTGACAACGTAGTGAGGGAGGACGGAGACACTGTGAGTGACAGGACCATGTCAACCCCCCACTGTTAGTAGTGCCATTCCCGGGGTGGTTTAAAATAGCCACCAGCTGGGACAAGAACGCAGTGTCAACTGGAAAAATAAGAGCCTTGACTTAAGTGTTTCTGTCTTTTATCCGCTATGGGATAGAGTGACACTGCTGGCTGATCTGTGAGGGATGACCACTGACTGTAGGGTTGGAAAACACTAAAAAGTATTAGACGGAGCTTAGAATACTTCACTGCAGCTATGGTTAAAGGTCCAGTCAGTGTGTAGGATTTAGGAGGATATATTGGCAGAAATGGCATATCATGTAATAAGCATGTTTTCTTTCATGTATAATCACCTATAAATAAGAACCGTGTTTTCATTACCTTAGAATGAGCCATTTATATCTACATAGGGAGCGGGTCCACCATGTTGCACCACAATGCTTCTACAGTAGCCCAGAATGAATAAACCAAACACTGGCTCTAGACAGGGCCATTCACTCACTGTTTGATGGCACTAAATCTCCCTAAATCTTACATACTGCTCCTTTAAATTCAAGGTGAGCACACATTACCAGGTGCTGGGCTAGTGACCTGTCTCCAACCAGCAGCCGAACAGCTTCAGAGAAATACTACTGGTTTAAATCTCCAGGTCCCAGGATGAAACCTCTGCAGATAATTTGGCTGCCAGTAAAAACCACCTGAACTATGAACACTGAAGGAGTTATAACCGGGAGAAGCTGCAATCTGCAATCCTCACTGCTAGATGCCACTAAATCCCCTAAATCTTCCACACTGCTCCTTTAAATTCAAAGTGCATTTAACACTTCAGTGGCAGTCCTCACTCAGTATGACTTCCACTATGTTGTTCTTCTACCAAAAGAAAATGTGCACAGAAATTCTGCTGAATCTGGATTGGTTATTTGTTTTGTTACTTTTCAAACCAACAATTTTTAAACTACAAAACTCTACAAAATGCAAGATATGAATCATGATTTTACACAACTGGGACACCAAATGATGAAAAATGGGCAACACTAAAGAGCAAGACAACTTCTTTTCTCCCTGCAGGCAATGCTTCCCTTAAAACACCAACACATTGCCTTAATATTGTTTTTTAAAGCATTGAGATGCGCCCTTTGTGTGCCCAGGTCTATTTCATATATGAGGAGGAGGTTGAGGTAGAGGAGAAGGAGCCAGAACCTCCTCCTCCTGTTGTCCGGGTCAACGACAAACCCCACAAGTTCAAGGACCACTACTGCAAAAAACCCAAGTTCTGTGACGTCTGCGCTCGCATGATAGTCTGTACGTATTAGGAATTAAATCAACAAAACATCTAAACAAACTTTCTCATACATGTGATGCTTTCCATAGAGTGCTTAATCCCTTGACTGACCCAATTGCTGTTCCCATTTTTCAGTGAACAACAAGTTTGCTCTGAGGTGTAAAAACTGCAAGACCAACATCCACCATTCATGTCAGTCCTACGTCGAGTTCCAGAGGTGCTTCGGCAAAAT